TTTTTTGTTTACATTTCCCGTTATGTATTTGTTCCCCTTTTTGTTTGTTTCTTTCAATGTTAATTCTTTCTTTCTTTCTTTCTTTCTTTCTTTCTTTCTTTCTTGTTCTTTTTTCTTTTCTTTTTTTTCAATACTTCCCCACTTTATTTGTTAATTTTTCCTTCTTTCCTTCCTTACCCTCCTTTTTCCGTTATGTTTTCTTCCCGACTTGATTTTTCGCTTTCTTTTTTCTGTATGCCTGTTTATTAGTCTGTTCATTTCCTTCGTTCAATGTCTTGCATTTCGTTCTGACTAGTTCTTTCTTTCTTTCTTTCTTTCTTTCTTTCTTTTTCTGTTTTATTTCTTGATATATTCTTTTTTTTTTTTCCATTTTTCCGTCCCGTATATTTTTCTGCATTATTTTCCCTTTTTCTTTGTTTGTTTCTTTCAATTAATCCCTTCTTTTTTTTATCATTCTTCTTTTCTCTTCTTTCTTTCTGTATTCTCCCTTTTTTTACTTTTTACTTTTCTTTCTTTCTTTCTTTCTTTCTTTCTTTTTTTCTTTCTTTTCGTTCTTTCTTTCTTTCTTTCTTTCTTTTCGTTCTTTCTTTATCTCTCTTTTTGTTCTCTCTGTCTGTCTTTTCTTTCTTTTTATCTTTTCGTTCTTTCTTTGTCACTCTTTTCTTTTTCTTTCTTTCTTTCTTTCTTTCTTTCTTTGTCTCTCTTTTCTTTTGTTTTTCTTTTTTTATTCTTTTTATCTCTCTTTTCTTTATTCTTTCTTTCTTTCTTTCTTTCTTTCTTTCTTTCTTTCTTTCTTTCGTTTAGCTGTTTCTTTTCTCTTTTATTTCTTTTTCTTTCTGTCTGTAATTCTCTTCTGAAATTATTGTTTCCTTTTTCTTCTTCTCGTCTCCCCAAACCCCACCATTTCTACTCTAACCGCCACCAAATACATTTTCATTAAAAAAAAAAGCAAACTTTCTGATGGCTCTGCTTCTTCCTTTTCCAAGCTACTTTGTCGAAAATATTTATTCAGATGGAGGCATTTACTGCCGAACAAACCAAGTATACAGTGACGTATTAAATCGCACGATCTTTTTGCTTTTTCGTTCTCTTCTAATCTCTTGTTTCTTTCGTATTTTGCTGTACATTTATTTATACAGACCATCTGCCGATAAATAAATTAAAACAGCAGTCAAAGCTGAGGGCAAATCGACGTCTAACATCATCTACACCACTTGTTCCGTAGATATGGAAAGTGCTAAATGGTGAAAGAGTTCGACTGCTGACTGTAGTGTGCAAGGTTCAGTTCTTAGTTGGCCCTTACTCGTTATCCCAAAGCTAAAATAGGACAATATGTGCTGAGTCTGCCTCACGATATTGTATCCTCTCATTCGGGTCCCCGTAATCCAGGACCTTTACAGGGGGTGACACGTGTACTGTTGCCGTAATGTGTATTGGGTAACATAGCCTGATGGAGCTTATTTTGAATTCAGAGATTTCCAAATCCGAAACAAGTTGCCACCTCATGCCAAATGGGCTCAATCTGATTTGCTATTTAACCCATAGCTGGAGGAAGATGCATTCATGCCTTTTACAACGATATTAGCAAAAAGTAGTGATATTAGTCGTTCTCCTTTAAAACTTTAATTATATCAAACCTACAAATTCAAAATGAATTTTGAATTTGTAGGCCTGATGAATTGGATCGTGATTACGATTCCAATGTAATAAATTATAATCATAGAACACTAGTGTTTGAGCCTTATATATATATATATATATATATATATATATATATATATATATACTAGCAGCATGGCCCGACTCATACAGCAATCGCTATCACTTGACTTAAAATATTTTTGCCTTTCCTTGCCTTTAAAGGAGTGTCCTTTGCCGTGCTGATATTGCTACATGCCTTACTTCTTGCCTATCTCACACTGCGAATTTTTTCTAAGCTCTATAATAAACATTAAATCTGTTACGAAAAAAGAACTAAACAAAATGAACACAAAACGATCAAAAAAAGGACTCGTAACTGGAAAAAAACGAATGAAAAAAAATGTTAACAACAAATACTTTTCACACCCAACCCAGTTCTGCGGAATCAGAATCAACGTTGAGTTTAAGCAAGCGAATGAGCCAATTGGAGTAAAGTGCCATGCAGATTTAAATTTTTCCCACTTAGACGAATGCAGCTATCGATGTTTTTTGCATGCTAGTTAACATTCGTGTCAGTCAGCTGTTGGCTCTCACGCTGGCCAATAGAATCTTCCTGCCTATTCGTGGCAGCCAGCTATAGGCTCTCACTCTGGCCAGTAGAAAATGGCCGCAAACTAAATGAAAACTGCCGTAGAAGCATGAAAAAATCGATTATTTCAACTATCGATGGGAGTTGGGAAATGCAAAGTCGGTCTTGGCCTTCCCGCTAACTTGGAGCATGTGCATGTAAATTTTGGTGCAAATCCGTCGAAAAATTGCGGTCGTGCATTCGTCACACAATCACACACACACACATCCTGCCTTATATATATATATATATATATATATATATATATATATATATATATATATATATATATATAAGGGTTCGTCAAAATAATGTGAACAAGTTGGAAAAATAGCAATTTTTTTCAATTCCGGCATTTCCGGCTATTTGTAAACATCAAACCGGCATAAAGATTAAATGCTCAACACATACATCATCTACCTTGTTTTTTCACCTAATTAAATCATTATTTATCTTCAGGTAAAATAATTAGAATAATTAGAATCTAGTGGAGGTCTAATAACATTAACTAATAAATAAATGTTTAAGCTAGTGTTCACATTATTTGGTCGAACCCCTGATATATATAAATAATTATATATATATATATACTCGACTCTCTCGTCGAATTCGACGTATGAGGCTCAAGCAGATCAGTTCCCAGGAAACTGACAGCCCGACAACAGCACATGTGATTTGATTATAGTGGTGAAGGTTTTTTACAGGACCATCCACACTTTTTGAAGGGCCAAATACAGAGACCTGGTGCACTAAGTGCCACAAGTTCCCTAAACGACACTTCGCAAGTTTTTAATTAAGAGTTGTCCTCCTTCTAGACCAGTTGCCATCCAAAGCTATAGAACCCAGTCTGTCCTGCTATTTACCCATAGATGGAGGGAGAAGAAGAGGATTCACACCTTTCCCAAGCGTATTAGCACGTAAGTGAATGGATTCGACTGGATTCGAATATATATATATATATATATATATATATATATATATATATATATATATATATAGTTTCTGTGACTGCCTGATTCATTAACACATCTGAGAGTTTCCTCTGTCGTTTTACTGCATTCATATTTAATATTTAATTTATATTTAATTCTTTCTTTAAGTTCCTCAATATTTTGGGGGCATGCTTGATAAAGAACATTTGTCAGTTTTTCAGCCATCTTACTTCGTTAAAATTGATTCTGCAAGATATCAAAACTAATTTTACATTTAAAACATAATTAATCAACCACTTTAGTGACTTTTTCCTCACCCTATATATATATATATATATATATATATATATATAAATCTGTCGGATTAATAAATATGTTATTTGAATTTTATAATATCTTTCAACACAGCTTTGCTCTGTCCGGTGCGCACTCCGTAGCCGAGAGTAAAAAGTACGTCAGATCTATGACGGTTTTCCTAAGGGAAATGCAGTGTCGAATCCTCCCAAAGAGCGAATATTTTTCTCTAATAAGAATTCTTGAATATTCAGGCCAGTAGACGAAAATAAATAAATATACTGTTTAATAAATAAACGGAGCGTCTACTTAAGTACGAATATCCACAAATATAATGTTCAAGTAATAATAATAACATATATATATATATATATATATATATGTATGTATGTATGTATGTATGTGTGTGTGTGTCTGATTGAATAAATTACAAACATTATGTGTGCTTATTTTGAATATAATCCTTTCATATTCACGAATTTTTCCGTATATTACAATTAAAAAAGGCAAGAAGATTATGAATCACTTTTATTTCACAAACGTAACAAATATTAAGTTATTCGCTGTGTTACAGTGCATTTCTTGCCTTATTTAATTGTAATATACATATTTATTTATGAATATGAAAGGATTATGATCAAAATAAGCAATCATAATGTTTGTAATTTGTTTAATCAGACATGCCTAAAAAGGAATTTGCTTCCTAAACACACACACGCACATATATATATATACATATATATATATATACACACACACATAAATTTATATATATATATATCCGGATCATCAGATAGCACTTCGAAAAAGGGGCTATCTGATGATCCGGCGTCCTTTAAAAGGGCTCTGGTGAAATAAATTATTATAATGGTACCTTAAAGTGGTCTGTTTTCTTTTTTCCTTTATATATATATATATATATATATATATATATATATATATATATATTTGGTTGATTGATATGAGTTTGTGACCCTGGGTTTCTTGCGATCGTCACAAACTCATCAATCCAACCAAATATTTTAGCTCTATCTCTGATATTGAGCGCTTTCTCATAAGTAATGCGCATATAATATATAAATAATTAATATATATATATATATTTATATATATATATATATATATATATATATATATATATATATATATATATACACACTTTTCGTATATATATATATATGATCTTACACAAACGCTTATCAGCATAAGCTTTTTACTATTTACATTTATATACGTTATAAATTCAACTAAGCACAATTTATTCTTAAAGGAGGAAATATTTGCGCGGATGCTGACGTTATTCTTGGGTTCTTTTCTTGTTCAAATCCGGGAATTTGTTTTGCTCAAATAAGAATCTCACTATTTTTTTTATCCATAATGTTGAATGTCCTATAATTCCAAATTTTTAGCCAGAAAAATCTCAAGTAGATGTTAAAAATTGCTGCAAAACATTGTTGATTTATTTAAAATGGAATGACTTATTATGACCTGTGTTTAATTTGTATTTAGATAGACGGGTATTTTAGTAGGATTCCTGTGAATATGCAGTATTGGGGTATATGTTGGATTGTATTGTGATGGATGAGTTCTTGTGGTGATAGAATAAATTGTAATTGATGAATGGGTTGCGAATCTGATTAGCTAGGTTTAAGATAGTCAGTGGTGACCAGCCTCACCCAACTTCCCCTTCGGCCTTGGGCCAAAATTGTAATTATCTTACAATAAATAATCATTGGATTTATTTATTTTCAATTTTTCTACTTAATTGTTTCACCTACATTTCAAATGATCCATTATTGTATATAATTAGGTTACAATAAAATTTGTATATTATATGAAAACTATCACATGAAAATTGAAATGTAGTAGAGTGGGGGCCCCGTATATTGGGTTGCATTGGCGGTGGGGGCGCACAAGACTCTTGCACTGGCCTTTGTTCAGCAATGGCTACAAAACGACATTTGCTTTTCACATATTTTATTAGTAATATTTAACAGATTACCATTCCGGTGTTAGTAAAAAAAAAGGGCCAATGATAATACTCAGTTTGTTAGCATATATATATATATATATATATATATATATATATATATATATATAAATACACCCACAAACATATATATATATATATATATATATATATATATATATATATATATATATGTAAATACACCTAAAAATATATATATATATATATATATATATATATATATATATATATAAATATAGTTCTAAATATATATATATATATATATATATATATATATAGCATAATGAGAAGCCACGTATACTTTATATATGTATATATAGAAAAAGTTTCAAATTAAAAAATAATAATGTTTTATTTTATGAAAGTATATAAATAAATAAATACTTTCATAAATAAAACATTATTTTTTTTAATTTGCAACTTTTTCTATATATATATATATATATATATATATA